TAGATAGATAGATAGATAGATAGATAGATAGATAGATAGATAGATAGATAGATAGATAATTAAATTTATATCCCACCCATCTTGCTATGCAAGTGGCTTACTAGGCAGTAAAATAGAAATATAAAAATTATTACAAATATTAACTACAATTAAAATTCAAGAGTTAAATACAGGCTAAAACAAACAACCTAAGGACTTGAGTTAGAATGGCAATGGTGCCATGGATGGGTGGATGGATGGATGGATGGATGGATGGATGGATGGATGGAGAGATAGACAGAGAGCAATATTTCAAAGACTTGACTCCTACATCAAGTTTTCTTTTTTGGAAGTGGTTTGCTCTTGCCTTTTTCCTGGGCCAGGGAGTGACTGGCCCCAAATCACACAGCAAGATTTGTCTTTAAGGAATTCAGAATTTATCAGTTTCTAGTCCGGTGCATTTAATCAGTGCAGTAAACCGGTTGTAACATAATATACGAAGACCGATGTGAATAGTTGTTGGAGGACAGAGAGAGAATTCTGTCTCCCTTTGCTTTCTATACCTCTGCTCATGTTCAGTAATGCAAGATAAAGAGATTTTGCTGATGATATCCTGGATTTATTTTCGGGTTTGCTTTATTACACAGCCCATATCAGATGATCATAAAAGAGAAGAAAAAGTAATTATCAGTCTGATCCTGAAACTGTCTAGCCAGGAATCTTTCCCTCGACTTTCCCCAGAGCGTGTCCTGAGGTAAAATAGCTACAGGATATTTTTGTTTAAAAAGTGAAAAGAACCCAAGTACAAATCAATAATGAAGGAAGACATTGTTGGGGACATGTTTCTTTTTTGCAGGAGTTCTAAAAAATGCTCTTAAAAGACTATGGGAAAAATATTTTTCCTCAAAGTTTTCTCAGCATTGGTCTCTCACCGCCATCATATAACAAGCCTGAACATAGCAAAATGGAGGTCACAAATGTAGCCGCAAAATACAGCCTGAAAAATAAATCTGATCAGTGTTTGCCAACCTGGTGAGATAGAACAGTTATAGCATATGTCATGCGTAGCATTAAGCAATGACATTTTGACTTAATATCACTCCACAGTGCTTTACAGCCCTCTGTAAGCAGTTTACAGAGTATTGCCCCCAACTATTCTGGTCCTCATTTTACTGACCTTGGAAGGCAGAATCAACCTTGAGCAGATGAGAATTGAACTTCTGACAGTTGGCAGTATTAACCTGCAATACTGCATTCTGACCACTGTGCCACCACAGCTCTGTATGCTTTCTTTATCAGTTGCTCCTAAGGAAGGAGACCAGCATCTAATTTTTGTCACAAGTTAGTGGTCATATCCTGGTTTGTACTACATGCTAAAAAAATATGTGTGTACCATTAAGATGTTGAATCAGTTTCATAACCTTCTGTAACACATGGACAAACCTTAACCTCTGGGTATGATTTATGGGTATAGAGCCAACTGATCACTAGAACTACCAGTTCATTCGAACCACTCTGAACCGGCTGAATCCCACCCCTGTTTACACCAAAACACAACAGATTATCAACACCTTTATTCTACAATTCTTTATTTCAGTTCTTTATTTCAGATGAGTACAATTCTAAAAACCTGCGAGTTAATACAAATAATTATCCTGGCTGGTTTTTTTTTAGTTTTTTTTAAGGAATCCGCTGTTCACACTTATCCAGATGAAAACCTTCTCGTTCAAAGGGTGAAAGTTTTCTAGCTCCAATGGAGCTGCGGTGAACCTACTGAAAGCTGTTCTTTTATAGTTAACCGGAGCTCCTATTGTCACTATTGTCTAGGTCTTGACGACTGCCTACAGCAATACATTAAAAACTTTGAGAGAGAAAAGATCAGTGGGGAGCAGTTGTTGCACATCACCCATCAGGAGCTGGAAGAATTGGGAGTCACTCGGATTGGCCATCAAGAACTGATTCTAGAGGCGGTTGATCTTCTCTGTGCCTTGGTAAGTGGATCCCTTTCCTTAGATCTTTGCTCTGCTCTGAACTTTGCAACTTTATCCCAAAAGGGGAGGGAAGGTTGTGTTTACTGGACAGGGAAAGGGGCACAATTCTATAAAATATTCGCGAAAGAAGGCAAATATATGCACCCAAGGATAATGTTGCAGGATCCAATCTGGGTTGCTTATGAAAACCAGAGGTTGAACATGGAGATAAATATGAAACCAGAACTTTTCCTCTTGGGTCTAATGGAAAAAGAATTGGAGAAAAAGTTAGGAGCTTTGTTAGTACCGTATATATGTTGACAGCAGCAAGACTGTATGCACAAAAATGGAAGGACACTTTGATGCCTACCATGGAAGAATGGAATTGGCTCAAATGGCAAAATTGTCTAGTCTGCTCAAAGAAAAAAACATAAGTACTTTTGTTTCCACGTGGAAACCGCTTCTGAATTTTGTGCTTGAGGTGGAAAAGAATAAACTTTGATTCTGGGTTTTACTGATAAACTTGCGTATAAATGACTGGTTCATACTATTTTGGTAAAACAAAAAGTTGTGATTTGTTGATAGTACCTTATTCTACTGTAACAGAGAGTCGGAAGTCAATGCCTTTTTTTCTTTCCCTATCCTTCCTCATTTTTCTTTGCCTTTTGCCCTTCCCTCTCCCTGTCCTCTTATTTGCTTTTGTATTTTGTGTTTTATAATACTTTATAACCAGAAAGGGATGTGGTGGCTCAGTGGCTAAGAAGCTGAGCTTGCCAGTGGTTTGAATCCCTAGCGCTGTGTAACGGAGTGAGCTCCCATTACTGGTCCCAGCTTCTGCCAACCTAGCAGTTCAAAAACATGTAAAAAATGCAAGTAGAAAAATAGGGGCCACTTTGATGGGAAGGGAACAGCATTCTGTGTGCCTTCAATGTTTAGTCATGTGGGCCACATGACCACGGAGATGTCTTCGGATAGTGCTGGCTCTTTGGCTTTGTAACAGAGATGAGCACCACACACTAAAGGCAGGAATGATTAGCACTTATGTGCGAGGGGAACCTTTACCTTTATAACCCATACAAACATATTTAAAAAGGAAAAAACAAACAAACAAAAAAGGACTAGAAGTTTAGTGCTGGAGCCCATCATCAAGGAACTTCGATCTTACGAGAATGCATCATTGGTCATTCTGGTGAGAGAGAAGTTTTCTGAGAATGGGGTCCAGCATGAGTCCCAAAGCTTGGAAAATTAAATCTCTGGTTCTGGTGACCGACCCAGATTCATATGTGGGCGATACTGACCACAGCTACCTCAAAGCTCACTGCCACATACTCACGGAATAAGAATGGAATGGAAGATAGCTGGAAAGATGGACCGTTGATAGTTTATGGTCAACCACCAGCTTACATCTAAAATGGGACACAAAGACGAGACTATAAAATTCTACAGAGATATTTTACGGCCCCGTAAGTGGCAAATGATGCTCAGAGAGGCATAAAATTTAGCAACTCTCCAGGTGACATCAAGATGGAGATCATGTAATAGATCATACAGATAGCAGTGAGGCTCTCTGGCTGGAGTTCTCTGAAGAATAGGATAAATTCTTCACCCACTGATATTGATAAAAGGCACCATAAAACTTTATTTGACTCAAAGGGTTCCTCCCACCCCAGAAAACAGAGATCACGAAGGATGTAGCCATTGCAGTTTTCCCACTAGCGCTGCAGAGAGCGAGACATCAAGTCTTCTGAGAACATTTTTATTTAAACCATTTTTGTACATGTATCGATTGCTACATGTTCTGTTGAACTGTGTGTGTGTTTTTTAAATTGATTTCCTTGACATTTTATGTGCCTTTGGGTAAATGTGTTTTTTCTTAAACGCTCTTCTGAGATACTTTGCATGTTGTCGCTGTTTAGTATATTTTAGTATTTAGCATTTCTGGGATGGATAAGGATTGCCTCAAACTTGTGTGGCCCGTAGGTGGAAAGGTGGGGTATTTTCAGGCCCCCCCAAGAAAGATACATAGGGATATCTCTGAGTAGTCCTTTTATGGTTCCTCATCCATAGACAGAAATCTTGCCAAACTAAAGCAACTTTTGCCTCTGTGTAGATCTGGGAATCACTAGGAAGAAACTGTTTTAACTTTCTTCCACCCTAATCCTAATGATCAAGAGCATCCTGTCATATGGAATTGCTGTCTGGTTTGGAAGCATTACTGCTTCGGACAAGAAGGCTGTGTGTGTGTGTGTCAGTGGTGGGATTCAAAAATTTTTTACTACCGGTTCTGTGGGCGTGGCTTGGCAGGCATGGTGTGGCTTGGTGGGCGTGGCAGGGGAAGGATACTGCAAAATCTCCATTCCCTCCCCACCCCACTAACCTGCTTTCCGGCTCTGTTCTCCTGTGCAAGGCAAAAGGAGACCCAGCTGATCAGCTGGGATTTGGGAGGCAGAGAATAGATGGGGGCGGAGCCAGTCAGAGGTGGGATTTGCCACCGGTTCTTTGAACTACTCCAAATTTCCGCTACTTGTTCTCCAGAACTGGTCAGAGCCTTCTGAATACCACCTCTGGTGTGCACGTATGTAAAATATGTATATCTGTGTATGGGTAGATAGATACTTTCTTTTGAGAGCAGGCAACAGAATTTCGTTTTTAATGTGGGCCACTGTGCTCACAGTAAAATTTATCTTATGTTATCTTATCCTATCCTCTCTTACCTTATATCTTATATCCTATATCCTACATCTTGGCTTATCTTATCTTAATCTTACACATTCTGTTGAATTACAGCATGTGTGTATTTTTAATTGATTTTCTTGACATTTTATGTCCCTTCGGATAAGCTTTTTTTTTTTTTAAAGAAATTGCTCTTCTGCTTTATTTTGTATGTTAGTGCTGTTTGTTACGATTTGCCTTCAGAAATGGTGGGTGCTCCTGCAGTGGAGGCTTTTAAGAAGAGATTGGGCAACCATTTTTCTAAAAGGGTATAGGGTTTCCTATTTGAGCAGGGGGTTGGACTAGAAGACCTCCAAGGTCCCTGCCTTCTCTGTTATTCTGTCATTCTGTTATATTGATAACACTGTTTGATAATTGTTGCCTCCAATTTTAGGCTGGAAAAATGGGGTATTGTCAAGACCCCAAGAACCAAGGAAGACCCATGGTGTTACTTCAGACTAGTTCCTTTATTGTTCCTCACCTACAGACAGAAATCTTGCCGAAGTAAAGCAACCATTTGCATCCCTGTAGATATACTCTGTGAACTGCTAGCGGGGGAGCTGTTTTAACTCGTTTCTTTCCAACCAAACTGTCTAAACCTCAACTGTTTCTTTGCCCTCTGGAGTGCAACCCACCCCACTTCCTGGGAATCCAGACTACATTCCACCACAGGTATACCTGTAACAAATAAGTTAAGCTCTCCCCTCAAAAGCGAATGTATCCGTTGGGCAACTAACTTAAAATACTGTGGTTAGGAAGGCAAATGGAAGAAACTGAAACTTTGTGCTTTCATGAAACAGAAAAATGCATTGTTATCAAAGATAGCACTATCCATTTTCCTTCTAGACAATTTCACCATTTGTTCTTTCAAATAAGAGCTCCTAGGTTGTAGGAGATTATGGTACACCACGATTATGGTACAATTTCTTTCCTATTCTCAGTGAGGCACTCATGCCTCATAGGTGTTCACACCTTGATGTGAAATAACTCTTCATTATATTCTTATAAAATTGGCATATTTTGTCAGATGTGAAACCTTTGTACAGCGTAGTCTTTGTTTTCTCTTTGGCCTGTGCTGAACAATGCTGGCTTTCTGTCGGCAAAAAATATGTGCTTCAGGTTTTATCAAAAAGAGCATAACCCAGTCAGGTTCTTTTGAAGAGATCTTCTCTCTCCTTACAGAGCTATTTCCAAAGACTTGAAATTCTCACAAAAGCATCTTTTGCTTGTAAATGTGAAAAGGCTGCCCTTTAAAGACTCTTTCGCTCTCTTCTGGCTTGAGCTTTTCTTCAGAAGAGGCATTATTATGTATGTGTGTGTTGGTATATGTCAACTAAAAAGATCTTTAGAAAATTTTCCAGCTCAGGAAAGATTTTGCACAATATGTCAGGCAGTGTAGACATTTTACAGCACAACATGAGCCAGCTGCGCAGACAGGAGTTCTTAAAACTAATTGTATGGATACGAATAGATGTTACGTTTTGCATTTTTTGTTGGCCTCGTTTTATTCTTTTGTTTGTTTGTCAGTCTGCCTGCTTGGAAAAGGGGATCCAAAGATTATTGAAAAGTGATAAAGAGTTTTCTCCTTGTAGTCTTTTTATACTGTAAGTCCTACCGTAACTTCTGAGAAGAAAAATGCAGAAATTATTTGTGGGCTAAAGCTCACAAGATGTAAACGGTTTGCAAAAAGAATAATGTTTGCACTTTTTAAAGGAAAAATATCAGTTAATTAAATTAGGACAGTTGGGGACATGTGCCACCTCAGGGAGCATTAAATTCTTTTATTAGCCAATATGCAATTTTAGGGTATATGAATTTGATTAGTTCATACTGTACCAATAAAGGAGAATATTTGTAACTCAGGGTTGAAATGAGGGGTCCTTGGTGCCTTCTGAGCTTGTTTTCTTGCAGACGTTTCATTACTCCAACTAGGTAATATCTGACTAGCACTGATATTGTTACTTAGTTTGGGTAGCGAAGCACCTGCAGGAAAACGAACAACCTCAGAGAGCAGTAAGGACCCCTTAGTTCATACTATTAATGCTGTTACTTAATCTACTTACCTGTTACGTTGCCTAGGAAAAAAGTAGGTTGGAAGAGTTTGTCAGTAGAGATTCTCAATCATCCAGTTCACAGTCGTCCCAAAGGTGATTTTTCAAAAGGCAACTAGACTTTGTTCTTCCTTGAAGACGTTTCGCTGAAGAGCTGAAGAAGCTTCTTGGATGAGAAGTGAAATATCTTCAAGAAAAAACAAAGTCCAGTGGCCTTTTGAAAAAGCACGTTTTGGACATTGGGTTTGTTGACTAAAC